CCCCCCCCCCCCCCCCCCCCCCCCCCCCCCCCCCCCCCCCCCCCCCCCCCACAAATCAGATGGCCGCACCAACAAGAGATGCAAGGGAGCTCGCGAGGCGCTGTGAAACCTGAGGAGAGGCGGATGGCGGGCCAGGGCGGGACGAATCAGGAAAAGGGAATAAGAAAAAGGCAGAAAAAGAAACAAGCTCTCCTTTTGCGTCTGCTAGTGCCCTTGTGTGTTGTGTGTTGCGCGCGTGCGTACGTGTGATGGGTAGATGGTGAAAGGAGAAGATGGAAGGGAACAGGACAATTTGATTTGTTACGGACGAGATGGCTTACCGTCTGGTTCAGGATGCGTGAGTCTGAGATGGGTTTCAGCTGACCGAACAAAGGCAGACTCGAGGATCGAAAGACTCAAATGCCCATCAAAACAAATGCTTACCTTGGTCCAAGTTGGCGACGAGAGATCAAGATTGATGATGCGTGTGGCTGTTGGTGGGGAGGAGAGGCGAGGAAGAGGAGAGAAACAGCCCAGCTCCAAAAAGACCCCCGGCACGGTACGTACCCTGTCCACAGCGAGTCGAGTCAAGGTCAAGGTCAAGCAAGTCGCCTGACCCGAGATGCATTTGCAAGGCAAGGGCCCGCAAAGTCGAGATTGCCAAGGCGGCCGGATACCATGATGTGACGGGAATCCAGCTGCGATTGTGCATGTCATTGCGGCGGAAAGGCTCTAGAAGGAATGCAGTGCATGCAGCATGTCGACTGCCTTTTACCCATCCGCCCTTTTTGGTGGGTTTGATTGATACTACGGACAAGTGCTCCAGAAGGCTGTGGCACTTGGGCTTGGGACAGAGTCCGTCGTGAACTAGGCGCCGAGGACTAGCCAGACTCATCCAAGCTCTAGATTAGCATCGTGTAGGCTCTTGCTGGCCTCGCATAAAACCGAATGGACAATACGAAGTGCGTGCTGCAGCTGCTTACGCGCGGGCGACGCTGAGTGGTGGCACACGATCATGGGACGGAGAACTCCGTTGCTTCTCCTGTGCTTGATATCGACGGCAGCCCTGCCCCTATCACCAAGCGACGCACTGGAAATGAGCTTACGGTGGTGAAGAGAGTCGCCAACAAGATTACGTATAACAGAAGCACTCGACAGAATCGGAGATGAACGACGGCTAGGATACAGGTATTGGGCGATTTGTTTTGCAGGTGTTTTTTTGATTTACACGTACTCGATGCGCCGCAAATAAAGGTGAGGCACCAAGCAAAATACACGCACGCATCTCTTCTCTTGTCTATGCCCCTTGGCCATATCAACCAACGGGTAGGAGTAGGAGGTCAATGATGGCAGGCAATGGTTCGATTTGAAAAAGGAAAAAAAAAAGAAAAAAGAAGAAAAAAAAGCTCGATTCTCGCGCGACGGTCGGTGCTCTAGCTAGGTGATTTTCTGTGACAACTCTGTTGCTACTTTGAAACACACGCCGCCTCCAAACCAAATCTGGTAGCCAAGATGGGGTGTTGGTTCCAACTGCCGCAAATCTTGGTACTTTCATTACTCGTATCACATGTTGCTTCTCTCCGTGATGTGTAACAAGGAGAGGTTATATCGTGCCACTGACGGAAGACGACAAGGGAGAAGATGGAGGTGTGGAGGGGCAATGCATTGACGCTGCTCTGAAGCTGAAGCTGCCGTGCTGCAATTCAATGCGCCGTCACGGAGATTGGTTCTGCTTCCCCAGATCTACCTTAGCTAACCCACGTCCAAGGAACCCCTTCAGCGTCAGATTCCACCTTGGATCCGACTGTGGCTTATCCTCGAGACCAAAGCCGAAGGGAGATGCGCTGCTAGGCACCAGATAGCGCAGCCACATCTGGAAGCTAGCACATGCTGCAGGTGTTTGTCATGCGGCCGGCTCTGGGATGTCTGCACCTATGAGCCGGAGTCTCTTATAACCAGATCGGTTTTGGAGGCTGCAAAGGGGCACTCCGGAGCTCGACTTGGTAATCTTCGAGGCTCGTGCCGAAGTTGTCCGTCTTTGCAAGTCTCGGATGACGCAAACATAAAGCAGCTCGTTTCTCAATTTCGTGTTGCCAGGAGGAAGCAACATATTAATAGCTATGTACTATGCCGCACGATGATCTAGAGCCTAACTAAAGAAACACACCAACATTTAGCTTGAACAGTATGCCGTTGGGTAG